TATATATATATATATATATATATATATATATAATATATATTTATATAATATATATTTTACGCGAATCCCTTTTGCTTAGCTACACGAATGGACGGTGCATTTTTTCGAAATGAAATGAACTTTTGCAACTCTTTCCCGTTGAAATGTTTGTCTATCGACTTCGTATTAAGGCAATGTAATTCACGAGCTCTCAGAATTCCGTCATCTGTAATCGTTCGTCCGAATTGATTGCCGCTACGAAAAATACGGTTCTGTATTTTTTGCTTTCTGTCAAGTAAAATATAATTGGTAATTACGTGAACGAACGGAGGTTGCAACGGCACAACTTTTATCGCAAACGTGTACAGTCGCGCTCTAATGCAATTCCCTCGTTATCCCGCGAGTTTCTCTCTCTCTCTTTCTCTCCCTCTCACGTTCGGTTCACAATTCCAATGGATTTTTTTTTTTGTTCAAATCTCCACTAAAGACATCGACTGAACTGGGATTGCGGCACGGATGTGGAAAAACAAATCGCGTTACGCTGATTATCTGCGCCGGAAGCCAGAGGGAATATCGAACAGCGATGCGATGGCCGAGAGGATGACGGATACGTGAGATAGCGCGTGATATGCAGAAAGAGAAAAATATTTCAAAAGCTACCGACGAGATGAGAAAGAAATATAGTTCCCCCGTCGTCGCCGAATACGATGAAGTCGTTTTTTAAAAGTCGATTTTTTAATTCGTGAAAAAATGTTTGTCCAACCTACGTGTTCCGTGTCGGAGGAAAGCTTTTATACATGCGCGGAATGAAACTGAGCTATTTTTCTCTTTTTTTTTTTGTTTTTGCAAAAATATACTTGACGTAAATTATGCCCTCGTGAAATTCGCTCGCATTAGATACGCGAGCAGGATCTTTCAAACGTTCTTAAGATCGATTTTTCCCGCGGAGTTTTCAATTCGACGTGTCAATTTTGTTTGACTTGGCGAGAAATATTTCCTTCCACATCAAATGAGGTAGAGATCACCGAGTCTTCTTTCCATCATTTAACTCTATCATTTTCCGAGAGACGCGAAATTGATGAGTTTAACGCAATTCTCTTTATTTCTTTCGGAGTAGGAATTTCAATCGTTCAATATCGCGAATCTCTTCTCGGATCATCGCATCGAGAGAGCAACATCGAGCTCTCAGGTTTATTGCAATTTTTATTGCGACGTCAATTTGTCACATTTTATTCCGTGTATGCGTGTAATTTTTGTTTGGACTCGAGAAGATCTCGCGCAGAAGGAAATATTGACGAGAGAAAAATATTTATCCCATCGCATATTTTTTCGTAGAGATCGTAACTGTATGCGCTTCTTTAATAATATTTAAATCCAAACACGACTCCCGCGCATTTCGCCATTGCATATCTCGAGACGTGATGTATTCACAACGTGTTTTATACGTTGCACAATGTTTTCCGTGAGATTTGAAGAAGTACACCCACAATAAGCCTTCGGTAGGATCGAAAAATGCTGCGTGGGTTCGAAAAGACATACGATTACTATATGGACGATACTTCCAAGTCAGTGATCCGAAGATCGTATCGCTAAACAGAAGGGTCTCGACTCCTAAAAAGTACCGTCAAAGCAAGCGAGTTACCTCCTCTGACTATCGGGCTGTGTCGAGTCGACACGACTCGACTGTTCGTGAATCGATTCAGCCGTTTTCCACCCGTCTCATCTTCGTTTATCTTGTCCACCCCTCTATTTACGTTATTGTTTACCTTGTGCTAGGCAAAACAAACGCGATACGATGAGCGAGCGGAGAAATTCGCCTATTTTTCATGCCGTGTAGTCCAGGTATTCGGAATGTTCCTCTATTTCGATTTCCGGTTTACTTTGCAGCCGGGAAAACTAATATCGTTCTGTTTTCGATATCCTATACTCGTGACATCCATGACAGATAAGGAACATTAAAAATGATATTTCAAATATGTCAGGAATATGTCTTTATCGTGCGATCTTTATCTGACTTAAAAGAGGCAAAAAATTCGCTACAATTATTACATTTTCTTATATCATCATTGAATTAAATGGAATGTTTTTAATACTGAAGAAGCATCCACGGGAAAAAATTCAGAGAAACTGTTTATACAACTCAAATAGCTACGTTCTATCGATTAAACTGCAAGAAATATTTTACGCTCTTATCTTCAAGCAAATACAGGTTGCAAAAGTTGAATATTTAATGTGACTCTTCATGGATGATCCGTTTTCGATAAGTCAAGTCTATCATTATTAATTCAATATCCTTCTCTTTACCCTCGTAGTACATTGTTTTTAATGAATTTTTATTTTGCAATTTTTAGTTTTTTTTCCATTCAATGAAACAAAGCCATACGAATAACGCGCGTGTGAATTCTTCAACAGTTTTTCCTTCATATTTCCTGTTCTCTGTATACTTTTCATTATTTTTGCTATTTTTACGTCTCCTTTGTACCAATAAAGGAAGACATTAACTTTTTTATCGGTATATCTGCTGAAACGCGGTGTCATCACGTTACCATTTATGCTTCTTCATTTATCTTATTTATCAAAATATCTGCTTACTTTTGCACATTTTTATCTTATTAATTTATCATTTTTTTATTTTAAAATTAAGAAAATATATATATGTGTAATTAAATAATGTATAAGATAAAACATCCGATTACATAAAAGAACTCGACGCGAACAAAATTACAAAGTATGTGTTATATTTATCAAACAAATTTACAATGTATATATTACATGTATATTTCGACATCTTTAAAAAGAAATTTAATTAATCGTGCTTTGACGTGCTTTAACTTAATACTAGATTTATCAGAGATGCATAGTGATCAAATGAAATTTGTCAATAATTTTATATCGATATTCTTTATATAAACAGCAGATTTTATGTGAGAACTAAAATTTTAGACCATCAATTATTGAGAGAAAAAAAATTCCATAATTTTATTTAAAAATTTATATTTTTTTATTTACTAGCTTTTTAAATTATATATATTAAAGAAAAATAAAGAAGCGTAAAAAAAGTAACATATCACGAAGAATTATCGCTCAAATTGTTAAAGAAAAGATAATACTCGCAGCCAATTCTGGACAGAATTCTGCTCTTCTGTAAAAAAAAATACGAAATTCCAAGCATGTTACAACTATTCGGCACGAATTCCCGATCGCATCACCCTTGTTTTGCGGATAAGGGGAAATAATAAAAGGAAATGAAGCGGCTAAAACTATGGAGACGACAAGAGAACCGGAAAACGATCCGGAAGAAATACGAGTCCTAGTCCCAAATAACTCAATGAGATTGAATTTGTCCCAAATAGTGAACGAAATATATGATTATACTAAAGTGTGTGGATACATCCTGTTCGAATTGTAGAAGAAAAAAACAATTTATGTAATGTTCGATAAACTTTGACACTATCTGCTCAATAATTTAAACAATTATTTTCTATAGCAATAATTATAAAATTATTCACTTGTGCAAACATATGATATATATATATTTATTTTTTATTTATTTATTTAAGAAAATTATTTTTCAAGGCGGGATTGAATAGATTTATGGACACAATCAAGAAAATAATATAACAAAAAGAGACATTGACTTCATCTGTTAAGGTTTTCATTATATGAAGTAGATCCATTTAAATTATACTACGGCAGACACAGACCATCTAAGCAGTGCAAGGATTACGCTGGCAAGAATATCCGATAACTTTGTGCAAAGTCCAATTCATTTATCTTGCGATTTAAAGCTTGCAGACAAATGTTCCAATTTATTTGTATTAAAGAAGATAACACGAGAATCTCGTGATGTATGAGAAATAGATCGTATTATGATAAAAAAAAAATTGAATAAGTACATCTTTTTCATAAATGATGAGATGCGAGAATGTGTTAAATGTAATGAAGCACGAAACATGAATATATGACTATTTTTAATAATTCCAATATCACGAAATACGGCAGTAGGCCGATTAGAGATCGATTAGAATAGATACAACGAATCTCGTGCGAGAAATATAAGAGTGTAAGATGCATATTATATGTAATTACATGGGCGAATTCGTGGCAGTAAAGTTAATGATGATTACGATACACGAACAACTTCCATTATCCTTCAGCTCACCCACGTAACACACTGCGAAAACACAGTGGCTACTCAGCCCGCGCTCTCTAAAAGTGGTCCATCAGACCTCCGGAGCAAGTTTACGCTTCTTCGTCAACAATAGCAGAGGTTAGAGGTTTATGGAAGCTGGATGGGTGCTGATGAAAATAGTGTTTTCGGCTTAACGCGTAGTCGCTATTAAGTACGCGCAGCTGTTTTCACGATCCATTATTATACGCGTCAGTTTATTATCAAAGGTACACAAAGCAGTTTTGTCATCATTAAAATGAGTAATAATATTTGCCGTGAGTAAAAAGCAGCAAACGCAAAATTTAATCCGAGGAAATATAATTATTTCTTATAATTAAGATAAGAAAAATTTTTTAAAATTTCCGCACAATCTTATTTCTTTTTTTACTCTCGTTCTCCGTTAATATTGAGACTGAATATCGAAAATTTGGTTCGCCAAGTTGTCGTAAATATGATCCGATAGTTCCCTAGACGATTCGACTCGGCGATGAGAGTCACGTCAGTCGCGTCATCCTGAGATATCCTGGTTTAACGGCAAGATACATCGAGCGGTTCTCCTATAGCCACATCGGCGCAAATGGGATACACGCAGCTTTCGCCTGCCAATAATTTTTGCTCGGAAGGGTACTTGAAAGTTACTACACGCGAACGACGTTGATTTATACCGGTCGAAAGATCGTTCTTCCTTTCCCAGAGAGAGAACGAATTAACGACCATCATATATAAGGTAGATTTACACTTCATCCCTTCACCCGTGTTTTCTCCGGATATTAATACAATTAGCGACGTTACCATTTAACACAACTTCCCTGCACAATACGCTTCGCGCTAATGACGTTTTCCATTGCAGTTCAATGGAATGAGGTGTTACATTTCACCGCGCAAGGATCTTGAGGGACATCCGGGCAAGCTCCGCAGCATCCAGCATGCAGTGAGTAGTGCATCGATTTTATTCATCAGTCATTTTTATCGGAGGAGTCATTGTCGTGACATTTGCACGTCGTACACACGTGTAAAATCCTCGTTAATTCGCGTATGTGCAAACGGCCGGGTGCATACAGATGGTACGTCTACGTGATCGAAATTTCGTCCGGGGCCGCTTGCGACCGGTAATCAATGCTAAAGCGACTAATCAGTTAGCAGCCGCCCGCGCGCAAATTGTCGTTTGGAGTGACGCAAATTGCCGCGGATCCGCCGCAGCGAGCTCGAAGCTCGAATAGAAAAATGCATCGTACACCGAGGGGTCGGGGGATAATAAAGAAGGGCGCGTGACGTAACCTCGTTACATCCGGTAAATCCGATTAAAATTCACGATGCGGAATTCGCGCGTTACGACATGCAAATGTCTGCTGCATATGGGCGCGCGGCTAAAAACAAATGTATTTAGGTGTCGAGATTCCGCGTCGACTAATGTCCGGATGACGCGCGAATATCTCTCTCTCTCGAATCAAGATGAACGTTCGCATTCGCAGTTAATCCAAATCGCGATTTTTTTTTATATACGTATACGTGGCTATGCGGACGCGATGTTATTACGGTAATTGTTGATTTTATCAACGCATCGCGCACTTAAAACGTTAATATGCGTAGGCGCCTGGTGTTTTATGAACGTTACCTAAACATATACATATACGTGTGTGTGTATATATATAATGAATACGTACATAAATATTTACGTCGGCGTGCTTGCGATATAATTTTGTTCGCGTATTTATGCATCGCCGCTTTGTTCGCGGACGACGCTTGATTGATTATACCTGAGCTTGCCGCTAATTACTCAACGTAACATTTCGATTACCACACGCAACGGTTAACTACATCGGTGCTTCGACTGATTAATATCAGTTTATTTAGATTAATGCACAATACAAGAGAATGGTAATAACACAAAGGATCATTCGAAAGGCAATTAATTATCTCCAGGTAATTATACATTTTTTTTTTAGTTTTCACCATTACGTAAATGGACGACCTTTTCGTGCATTAGAATCTCGACCGTCATCGAGATAATGACGCTAGCTGCAATTTTACGAAACGGCATGCATTTTTTTGCGTAGTATCATTGCGCAATTAAGACACCTCCCCGCGGTGGAGCCATAAAGACCGATTAAGCTAATCGTGGCCCTATTAAAGCACGTGCACCTGCAATACTATACATCCTCGGTAACTCGATCTAGATGCACGTGTGCAATTCGCATCTGCATTAACGAGCATCAATAATTCTAATGTTATCACGGGGGTCAATCTATGCGGAATGAAAATAATCACCGATCATATGGCTGATGCATCGTCGCGTGTAACTCGATTAAGACGCGCGTATTACATTACTCGCATCATGCAGATGCTCAGATATCGTGTGCGATAACGCAATAATAATTCAGTCGTCTACGTAATACGTAACGAGGCGAAATATATAATGAATTTCGCAGGCGAAATTTTAAAGATGTAGTTATATCGGAGGACATTAGGGACACGGCTTTTATAACGCGAGAGCCGCACGGTTCGGAAACTCGAAAATTCCTCTCGCAATCGAGCGCGACGATTATCCGGCCATTACCTTAATTGCCGATACCGTTAATGCGCGTATCCACGCGCGTATAGTTATTCGGATGGTCGACGTTCCACGCACGCGGGTCACCGGATATCGGTCTTGCCCATCGCCGTTGGTTTGGCTAACTGTCCCCGGGGAGGCGTAGCTCTCTCGTGAGTGTCATGTCGAATTGCCCGGGCCAACCCGATCCCTGTGAGTTAAACGAGCAGATCTCCGAACGGGAACGTCTACTACACGGACGCGACATTAGCTTTGAGAGGAAAGACCAGAACTTGGCGTATAATCTGTAAATCGGGATTGCGATCCGGAGTCTCGAATCTTGGATCCGACACGTGAATTGCGTGAGTGCGATAACATCTATCCGTCCCGATCCTGTTCTGAGGAATCTCAAGATCGTATCCGATCTCTATATCGCGAGGAGACATAGCACTTAATCCTTTTATTTGATATATTAGCTCTTTAACAAGTGAGATATTTGATAGAATAAGGAATATCTAAGGTTCGTAGTAAATTTGAAAGTCTTCATAGATGATTGTCTTGGATGTTGCATTAAAATTTGCAATTTAAAAGAAACTTAAAATAAATAGATAAATATAATTATACAGGGTGTTTCTTAGTAAGTCGGAAAATTTTAGGAGATGATTCTTTAGCAAAAATTAAGAGGGATTTTTCATGTAAATATATACTCCTACATCCCTCCCTGTGGAATTATACTCCTCCAAATTGGGGTAAAAATTAGGTTTTTATTTCTTTTCTCAAATTTGGAATAAGTGAAAGAAAGGAAATTAGGTAGATATTTTCTCCTAGTAAAAAGGTTATTTATTAATATTTTTTTCAGCCTCCAGTATTGTTATAAATGAATGAAACTAGCAATCTCTATTCAATTTTTTATTACAACTTTTTACTGTTTATATGAAAAATCCCCTTTAATTTTCGACAAAGAATGATAAAATTTTTCGCATTTATTAAGAAATATCTGAAAAAGTTAAAATCTTACAAACTAACTCTATCGAATTTCAACGTCGAGTGTAAACATGATTTACAGTACTTTGGTATTTAAACGCCGCATTAATAACTGACAAGCGCGATAGAGATGGAATGCCTGCGAATTCACGCCGGGTGTATATCGCGTAGCGGTATAACCGATTAGAAATTCCTGAAGGGTTGTCCACGAGTATGCCTGACCTGCAGAAAGGCATCTAACCGAGTATCGTCGTGGCTTGCGCGTAAATTATGCACTACGACGCATACTATGCGTCGTATTGCCCCGTCCATTATCGAGAGCGCGCGACGAACGAGCTACTATGGTGAGATGCCAAAGCAGCGTGTAGTGTAATATCGCTGATAACCTCCATCACACCGGTAGCCTAACCCATCTTCCTGGTGCCGATAGTTACCGTCGTCGAAGGCGCATATATCAGTTGAGAAAGAGGCAACGCTTATCTTATACAGCTTAAAAAGAATACAGGGTGATATCCAAAACTCCAGAAAATAATTCCTTGGACGACTTTAGAGAAAAAAGTTTCTATAAATATGGATTCGAAAATGCTTCCTTATAGAGTTATGGGCCTCAAGTTGAAGGAAAATGAAAGAATCCTGTGATTAGCTTTTGTAATTTTTAATTGAATAATAATGTTAACGAGTAACTTAATTAAATTAAACGCTCGAAATGTCCACTTCGCACAATACATGCTTGAATTCTTTTGGCCATTGACTGTCGTATTTTTTCAAAAATTCTGGACATATTTCGAATAGAAAGCGATCAATTCTATTGCAAAGATTGTAAACATAATACTTATGTTTACGAAGCGTAAACTTCTGAGCCTCGATTAAGAGTCTTCAATTAAAAATTACGAAAAATAATCATAGAATTTTTTACTTTTCTTTAACTTTAAAGGCCCATCATTCTACAAGAAAAGCATTTCCGAATCTATATTCATTTTTTCTTTAAAATCATCCAAGAAATTACTTCCTGGAATTTTGAACATCACTTAAGAAACATCTTGTGAAATCCTAATAGATTATCGCATCGATGCATGGACAATCAATTAATCATTTGTCTTATATCAAAGCTCTTTACGATAAAGTACACACGTAAAGTCAATGAATAAAAATATTTTTCCCCGGAATGAACACCCTTTATATCTAAAAAGATTTCATATTTCCATATCTCGTACAATGTTAAAATATTTATAATATTTTTTGCAAACAATGCACTGACTTATTTTTTAAATAAAATGCATTTCCTTCTCATCGATTGCTATTTTTACGGTATCACCGAACACCGTCCGCTCTGATCAAAATTGAAAGAGTCCCATCATGCGGAAAGCTCATCTCTTATTAAACAACGTTGCTACGTAGCATCCGACGTTTTATAGAATGGGATTGCGTGAACAACAGTGCACGGCAGAATGGATTTGCCACGTGTCAATAGACGAGGACACGGGATAAAAGATGGATGCTTGTTACAATAACTGCATTTTTATTGATATTTGGGTTACAAAAGGGTGTTAGATCGGAGACGAGTCGACCTAGATGACACTGACGTTGATATCGAATGAGTGCGGGTTATTGCAACGCGGTTGAGCTAATAACGACACACTGGCCTCGTATATCATCGTTAGCCAATCGCAATGACATCATTGCCATTGTTCCAGCGATTGTGGCGAAAAGAGGAAGAGGATAATTGATCAATCAACAATCGCGAGGAAATCGTCAAACGTGATTCGCGAAGGCGAACGCGAGACGCGCCCGTTCTTTCCGCGAGAGACAAATTTCGTCATAAAAGACCTGTCCGAGCCAGGGACGCCGCTACTTAAGAGCTCGCATATATTTACTTGCGGTTTTGCGCGGTAAACTATAAATTGGAATTAACCCGGAGCGGTATGCAGAGAGCGTCGAGCGAGTTTGGAAAGTTTCCAAGAGCGCGTGGCGTTATTGACGTTGCGAATCGGGTAAAATGCGGCTAACGGAAAAGTTGCGGTTGCGCATGCGGCGGTTAAATCAAAATTACCGAGGCTCGTTAAGAGCCGGTAAACACAAGAAAAAAAGAAACGGAGAGAAAAAGAGCCGAGGGGAGAAGGATCGACCCTATAATTGAACGGCGAGCAAAATTACAGATCGAGATTCCTATTTTTATCGTAATCATCGCTTACAATAATATGTAATAATAATCTCAAGTATGGTCGCCGTCAAAAGTAACCGTAAATTATGATAAGAGCTATTTTTTTTCTCCGAGTGCAACGCAGGTGCGAGGCACTATACGCGACACTTAGCTCGAACGCGGGGACGCCATTATGTCGCGAGTTTATAGCACGCCGGCATAACCGCCCGCGGACTGCGTTACAACGAGGGAAAAATATAACCCGGTACACGTCGTT